GACCCACAGCGCCCCTAGAGGACAGAGTGGAACTGCACCACATCTTCAAGGCTGTCATCTTTACTGGAGCCAATCACCAGGTCTTTCCTCCTGCAGAGCTGCTGACTGAGTTCCAACCCAACACTTAACCGTTCCAGGGCTCTCTGCCACAGTCTGCTCGTTTCTGAAGGTCACACTGGCACTGCACCGCCCGAGTCCTCCCTCTGCCTGACACCCACCACTTGCCCGAGTCCTCTCACCGTCCAAGTCCCCCCTCTGCCTGAGTCCTCCTTCTCCCCAATTCCTCCCACTGCCCATGGCCTCCCTCTGCCTGTCCTCCCACTGCCGGAGTCCGCCCTCTGCAGGAGTCCTACAGTTGCCCGGGTCTCCCCCCTGCCCAGGTCCTCCCTCTGGCTGAGTCCTCCCTCTGCCCGGTTCCTTCTGCACAGGTTTTTCCGTCACCCTCGGTGTCACACGTCTAAACCATCATTTCCTGGGTGCTGACCTGTGTCCCCCAAGAGCCCCAAGGGTAGGACTGGCCACTCCCGAGCTGCCTGTCCTTCCCGGCACAGCTCGCAGCCAGTGTCGGGGTGGCCACGGGGTGCAGGGCAGGAGACACAGGCCCCGGAGGGCTCTGGGGGGCGGAAGTCTCCGAGCCTCCAGCTCCCAGCCCAGGCCGTGCACAGAGAGGAGGCGTGGGGATGGCATGACTCACCAGAGTGCCCTCCGCCAGCAGCTGGGTGGCCATCCCTCGGCTGCCTGCAGTGGCCGGAGAATGGGCCCGAGGGCCAAGGTGGCTGTGGGGAGAGGAAGGGGACAGAGGGAGGGACAGTGAGAAACCAGACCCTTCAGGCGGGACAGACACACACGTGTTCACCACACACACTTACGGTGATCATGACTTGTCGGGACTTGACAAACGCACCTCATGTCACCCTCCAGACAACCCTCGCAGGAGCCCTCACATGTAATGGCTGAGACCTCGGCTGCCAACTGAAAGGTTGCTGGTTCATACCCACCCAGTGGTTTTGCAGGACAAACACCTGGCAATCAGCTCCCACAAAGGCTACCAAAAAAAAAAAAAAACCTCCCAGCTGTGGAGTCAAGCCGACTCATCGCGAGACCGCCTTGGGTTTCTGAGGCAGTATCACTATGGAAGTAGATTGCCCAACCTTCCTTCCAAGGAGTGGCTGGGGGGTTTGAACCGCCAGCCTTCTGGTTAGCAGTCAAGTGCCTTAGGCATTACGCCACCAGAGCTCCCCCCATAAATATTACAGCTTAGGAAACACTACGGAGTTCTACTCATCACGTAGGGTCACTGAGTCGGCATCTACTACACAGCAATGCATTGAGTTCTGGTTTTAGGGGTGGTGCAAACAGTCCACTGAGAGGTAGGTACCTCAGATCGGAGGCCTGGCGAGGCACATCATCCAAAAACTCAGCCACTGAGAAACCTGGGAACACGGTTCTCCCCAACACACAGGGGGTACACGGTTCTCCTCCAGACATACGCGGGGGACGTGGTTCTCCCCCCACACACGCAGGGCTGCCATAAGTCAACTCATCTTCACCTCATCATGGGAGGCAGCCAAAGGGCGCCCCTCTGCCCCCATCCAGACCTCCATACACTTCCTGCCCCCCCCCAGACCAGGACCGCCTCCAGAGGGCACCTTCTCTGAGCCGGCCAAAGCTCTGAGGAGGTGGGGCAGGTGTTGAACACAGCTAGGGGTCCCAGGGACCACCCCCCAGGCATGGAGACTCAGGGGAAGAAGCAAGGCAGCTGTTAGGTCCACCTGCCAGGTGTACTGAGTTTTTCACACACAATGTGGACACCGTCCGCTCCAAAGCACCCAGACACATGAACCCACTCAGAATCCCCACAAACAGCCAGAGACACCCAAAACAGACACCCAGGCCGACTCCCAGAGACAGGCAAAGAGACGCACAGAGACAAGTCTCTGGAGAGACATGCACAGAGACACCCAAGCAAAGACACCGGGGTCACACAGAGGCCCTCAAACAGTGTCAACCCCACACGGAGACAGGCAGAGACACGGGAGAGACACACCCCACACTGACACCCAGAGACCAAGACAAGAGACTTGCACACACAGACCCGACGGCCTCCCAGGACCGTCCACTACGGTCCATAACCGCTTCCTGTCCCTAAACCTGCACATGCTCTCCCTGCCCCGAGCGCCCCCTCCCGGCCCTGAGCGCCCTCTCTCATCTCTGCGCCCCCTGCCTGCCCTGAGCGCCCCCTCCCGGCCCCGAGCGCCCCCTCCCGGCCCCGAGCGCCCCCTGCCTGCCCTGAGGGCCCCCTCCCGGCCCGAGCGCCCTCTCTCATCTCTGCGCCCCCTCCCATCTCTGCGCCCCCTGCCTGCCCTGAGCGCCCCCTCCCGGCCCTGAGCGCCCTCTCTCATCTCTGCGCCCCCTGCCTGCCCTGAGCGCCCCCTCCCGGCCCCGAGCGCCCCCTGCCTGCCCTGAGGGCCCCCTCCCGGCCTGAGCGCCCTCTCTCATCTCTGCGCCCCCTGCCTGCCCTGAGCGCCCCCTCCCGGCCCCGAGCGCCCCCTGCCTGCCCTACGTACCCTTCCATGACGACCCAGCCCTCCTTATTCAGCTGCAAGCCTTCCTCCAGGAGGGCGCACCTACGCCCACCCGCACGCCTCTCCCCTGTCCCCCGCCCCGCACGCCCCCATCCCTGCCCGCCCTCATCCCCACAGGCACCCCCTTCCGTCTGCACAGCTGCTCCCCTCACCTGGACCCCGCACGCCCCCTCTCCCCTCATTCGGGAACCTCTCCTCTCCCGGACCTCGCACTCCCCCTCTCCCCTCACCCGCACCCCGAACGCCTCCTCTCCAGCCCACCCCCACCCAGCACTGGTCCGGGACGGGGAGGGGCCCGTCCCTACTCTCCTCACCCCCGCCCCCGTACGGACTCACCCCTGCCGCTCTGCCAGGACAATGACCGGCGCCAGCTAGGCCCGCCCGGCCGCAGTGCGCGTGCGCGGACGGCACGGAACTACAGTTCCCACAAGCCAACGCGCGGTTGCCTCCTCCCCTCGGGCCCTTCTCGCCGAGCGGAGTCGGGCGTACCCGAGTGGAGCCGAAACGCAAAGCCGGGCCACGCCTCCGTCTCCCAGCGGCCTCCGCGGCAACTCTGCCGAGGGTGGTGGGTGTTTCAGGGGAGCGGACCGACCCCGAGGAAGGAGGGGACTGGGGAGGCGGGGCGGGAGGCGGGACGTACCGCCGAGAGCCGAGAATGAGGAGGGTCTGCCGGGCTGACGGACTAGACTGGGGAGAGCGGTGAAGAGAGAAGGGACGGGAGAGGGGGAGAGGCGGGGAGCCGGCAGGGGCCGAGGGGACGCCGCGGAGCGCACCAGGGAAGAGGGACGAGGAGGAGGGCTGGGGAGGAACCAGGAGGCCGGGGAGGCCGGAGCGTCGGGGTGGGTGTGGGAGCGAGGCCCTCAGCCGGTGCGAGGAGCCGACGACCGACAGGCGGAGGAGGGGAGGCCAAAGGGTTGCTGAGTGCGACTAACTCGGGACGGAGAACCGCCTCTAAAACGTGTCTCCCAGCAGAGCGGCCAGCCTGGCCTGCAGCCGGGACGGGCTGACGCTCCCTGGGACGGCCAGGAACGCTTTGTTCGCTTCTTCCCTGCTTACTCCGGACCCCGCGTCCCTCTTCCCAGGGCCGGCTTGCTCCGTAGGCTACGGTTCTCACCCGGACCCAGTCCTGGGAGAGGGTCACGCTTAGAACACGTAATTGAAAATAACAAACCTAAAGAACTCAGCGTCCGGAAAGAGGGTGGCTCTTCTATGGCCTGAAAGCAAAAGGGAGGGAAAATAGCCCGCGAGTCACTATGATTAAGGTGGACTTTGCTCTCGCCTGCCCTTCTGTTAAAGTTCTGCGGTTTTCAGTGAGGGGCCCCTTGGCCCGTCCATGGCACCCTTCCGCAGGTTGAGGCTGGGAGAAGCGGGCAGCGATGGGAGAGGCTGAACGGAAGGAGGGGAAGATGGGAAAGCGGGGCTGGGAGACAGGAGGGTGGGGGTGGGAAGAGGCTGTTGAGGGAGGAAGGACGGAGAGGGGGTGGGAGGGGAGGAGGGGTGAGGGAGAGAGAAAAGGTGGGGAGTGGGGACGGGGAGAGAAGCCAGGTGAGAAAAGGGGTGAGGAGGGAGGGAAATAGGAAGGGTGGGAGAAGGGAAGAAGAGCGGGGTGGAAGTGGGATGATGTACGGTAAAGAACTAGGAAGGGTGGGAGGATGGAGGGAAGGAGGAGGCTTAGGGAAGGAAGAGGAACGGGGCAGAGAATTGATAGGGGAAGGAAGGAGGAAATGCAGAGGTGGGAGGAGGCAGTGCTGAGGGAGGCTGTCAACACTAAGGGTCTGATGGGGCTCTCCGTTCTGTGTGTTGGCACCTGTCCCTTTAGGGAGAGCTCAGGGTCCTGCCTCAGGGACTTCCGCCCACTGTTAGAGCTAATTTTAACTCTGCTTCTCTTCTCTGTAAGGAAACTATTCGATCCAGTGACTGTATGTGAATCCTATCTTTCTTGGAGACCACCCCACTTGATAATGAGCACCTCAACGAGAACCCCCATACCCTTTAGTCCTCCCTCTCCAATCCATCCCTTACCAATACACAAGATCTGCAGTTAAGGCCCTCAGTGAGCCGGACTGACACAGTGGCTGCAATGATGGGCTAAAGTACGGCAAAGGTGAGGAAGGTGCAGGATCGGGTGGGGTTTTGTTCTGAACAGAGGCTCGCTAAGAATTGGAGCCAACTCGACAGCATCCAACAACGGCAGATAAGATCAAGGAGTCCTGGTGGCACAGTGGTTAAATGCTTGGCTGCTAACCAGAAAGTACGCAGTTCAAACCCACCAGCTGCTCCATAGAAAAAAGATGTGCCAGTCTAAAAGAGTTACAGCCTTGGAAACCCTATCAGGCAGTTCTACTCTGTCCTACAGGGTCACTACGAGTCAAAATGGACTTGATGGCAATGGGTGTGTTTTTTTGGTTTATGTATAAGATCATGTCCCTGAGATCTATGCAGGAGATCCTGGATAGAGAGGGAGAACAATGTGGAGCAAAACTCAAAATAATTTGGAGGGAAAAAAAAGGGGGGGGGCAGGTTTGCTGGTCCGATAGAGCCTGGTGGAACCACTGAGACTATGGGAGGAAGTGGGAGGGGAGTTGTTGCATTGTGAGAAGTTGTGGTCAGTGTCATGAGACAAAGTGTATGTGAATGGCTGTACGGAAAGTGAATTTGCTCTGTAAATTTTCACCCAAATCACAATTAAAAAAAAAAAAAAGATTATGTCCCTGAGAACACAGGAGGGTGGTGTCACCTGGACAGAGAGGGAGAACAGTGTGGAATAAAACTCAAATCACTTAAAAAAAAAAAAAAAGGAACCAGGTCTGCTCTGATAGAGCCTGATGGAACCCCTGAGACTGTGGCCCCCAGCTGCCCTTCAGGTGTGGAATTGAACCCAGTCCTGTGGCTTCCAACCAAACAATAGACAGGCATATGGGCTGAACATGTACCTGAGGAAGATGCACTCCTTGGAGAGAACAATCATGGGAGAAAGAAGGGCTGTGTGTGCACAGGGAGACAGCTCAGGGAGCAGGAGTGCATGGAGGGATGGACACAGGGAAGAGGTAACTATGGGGAGGAAATGGAGGGGAGCTGTTGCACTGTGGGAAATTGCAGTCAATGTCATGAAACAAACTATGTGAGCTGCTGTATGGGAAGTGAATTTGCTCTGTAAACTTTCATCCAAATCACAATAAAAATTTTAAAAA